CCGCCACCCACGTGATGAGTCTCTGGAGGCCTTTTGGGGCATCCCATGCGGTGGGCACTGGGTGGTTCCCGACTCCCTCCCCTGCACAGGCGCTCCTGGATGTGGGGCAAGCCGCTGGCTCCATGGGTCGCATGGCCTCCCTCTGCCAAGCTCACCCGTGCCCTCTAGCTCCCAGCAGCCCTGCGCAAAGCCTCCTTCGAGCCCCCACTTCCATCAGCGCCCCCCCGAGGGTCCAGGAGGGCCCTCGGAACCTGGGGCCACTTCCCTCTACAACTCCCCAGACCCCCAGAGGGCGCTGCACAGGGCTCTCTCCTCCCCCACACCCCTGGCTGCACCTAATCAATCCCAGCCTGACCCAGCAAGGCCCATCGCGTGTGGTTTCCTCATTCCAGAAGAGACATCGCTTCTTGCCGGGAACTCCGGTGTGCGCGAGAGTGGGTTCTAAACGGGCAGCGTGAGGACTGCCTGCTGGAAGCCCTGGGCCACAGACGGTTCTGTGAGGTGCAGGATGCTGGCATTTCTCTAGATTTCTGCCCCTTCCAGCGGCGTCTTTTCACCTTTGCGGGCAGGGCTTTCTTGCAGGCCATCTCTGGCATGTTGGCTCGTGCCACCCTGCACTCACAGGCCCTCAGCATCATTCCGGTTAGGAGGTGAAAGTCAGGAGCTGGCTGTGCAAAGCAGCTCTGGCACACACTCCCTGCGCTGTCCTGCCTCTCATCTCACAGACGCACCCTGGCCCCTGGAGAGGACTGATGGTGGAAGGCTCCAGAAGGTTCCCACAGGCAGCTGGGCAGGGAGAGGAGCTGCTTCTGAGAGGGACGAAGCGATCCCCTGGAGAAGGCCCCCAGCTCTGCTCCGTGTCCTGTCCCCCTCCCCTCGGACACCTGACGGAAGACCCCAGTCCTCCTGCGCCCCGGGGAGGTGCCTGGGACCTGCTTCTGCAGACAGACTTGGGGGCGTGTGTCTGTCACAGCAGTTTGTTTCTACTGGGGCACGAGGGAAAGCTGAGCTGGGCCTCCCAGCAGCTTCCCTGCAGGCGGGGGGCCGCGGGAAAAGCCACTTTTCTGCACCGCTCTGTGAACAGGGTCTGGCCAGGTCCCTCGATTCATCTTTCATTCACACCAGCACAAGGGGCTTTGGGGGACCAACCAATGACGCTGGCAGGTAAAGTGGCACGCAGAAAGGCACAGGGAAACGGGGTGCCGAGTGAACTCCAGAGGCCCGGGGGATGCAGACGGCGAGCAGGGCCAGGTTGGGAGGGCGGGCCCGCAGTGTGGGCCGCCCCGGCCACAGGGGCCGCCTGTCCCGGGGAGGAGCGCACAAGGACAGCACGGTGGAATTTCCCAATTACGGCGTGAAAAGAGAGCTCCTCTTGCGCCACCGCGCCCCCTCCCGCCCCACAATTAAAAACCAATCCAGTTTCCAGTGGCTTCCTAGCCCGGGCTCTGGGCCCACCAGCCCCTAATGAGGGGCTCTTCTGCGGAGCCCAGGGGCGGGGGTAAGGGGGCACAGGATTAGCAGGGGAGGCACTGGACGAGCTGCCAGGGGTGTCTGTGTCGGAGGAGGGCCAGAATGCACCAGAAGCTGTTCCCAGGGGGGCTTCTCGGGGTCAGGGTCTCATGGAAGAAAGCCTCGTGACAGCTCCCCCCCGACTTGGGCCCCTTCCCAATGCCTCATCTTGGGGGCTTCCCTTTCTCCCAGGAGGGGGCTCGGGACCCCAGCCACCAGGGACGGGGCTGGTGGGGGCTGCAGCCCTGAGTTCACAGCACAGTCACTGGCTGAAAAGAAAGCATTCTCCGGCCAGCCCTCTTTGCAAGGCAGCAGGGAGGAAGGTGGCGGGGGGAGGCCCAGCTGATTAGGCCCCAGGCCACCGGAGGGCCACGCGGGCCGGGGTGAGCCTCGCAGGCTCCTGCACAGAAGCAGGCCTTGTCAGGATGACAGCTGCTGGGTTGCGCTGGAGTTCACATCGCAGTTTATCAAAGAGGCTGCGTTTTCTCCCTCCTCGCCTTTTCTCCGGAATATAGTGGGACGGTTCGTGGGAAAACAAGCCCTGTGCTTGTTCTGTCTGCACGGGCTGGGGGGTGGGAAGAGCCGGAGGAAACGTACACGCACACCCACTCGGGGCTGGGCTGGGCCGCTGGTAGGCGCCCCGGGAGCTAGCGCTCGGCACAGAAGGTTGATTCTCTCACCCTCTGCCGGGCGGTCTCCCCACAGACTACAGGGCGGGGCGGAGGCCGCAGCCGTGTCCTGAGGCCAACAGCAGAGACCCCCAGCTGTGCCCGGCTGCTGCCCCCGGCTCTGCAGAACGATGGGGCAGGCACGAGACCACGTCTTACAGCCAGAGCAAACTGGGCTTGGAGACGGTCCACACAGCTCAGAACTGGAGGAACTGGGATTCGAACCCAGGGTCGTTTGACTTGAGAAGCCCCCTCTTCAACCGGCTCCCAAGTGCCCGTGGCACCTGCCTGACTGCCGTGGCGCCCTGGGAGGGGGCGCATGTGTGGGCAGGGCTGGCCGCTCACACCACCTGTGCTCAGCATCCACCCCGCCCCCCCGGCCTCCCTGAGTCCCTGCAGCTGGAAGAAGAGCCTGGGCCCGGGGCGGGGCACAGCAAGCCCTGCTGAGATCAGGTTTTAGAATCCCTGGCCTCCCCAAACCCAACATGCCTCTACACAGTTATGTCCACCAGATAACAAGGCCACGTGGACACCGAGCGGATGTCTGACCCCCGCAGGGGCTCCGTTCCCGTCCCCACGGAGGGGCAGCCTGGGAAGGCCAGGCGGGCGGGGAACTGCCCCAGGCCTGCGGAGGGTCCTGCCTCTTCCTCAAGGCTGAGACCCCCAGCCAGATGTCTGTCCTCAAGAACTCCGGATGCCTGTCCTTCCAGTCACCGTCCCTGGACTGAGCTAAATGCAGCACTGAAGGAACCACGGCTAGCCACTTATCTGCCAGACGAGTCTCTCTCCTTTCTGTGCTCCATCCTGGGGGTTGAGGGGAGCAACTTATAGTTGGCTGAACACCACAAAGAGGGGGTTAAGAAACATCCACGGTCTCTTGTCAGACCTGTGGCTTCACCTCAGCGGTCTGCATGCATCACTAGTGTTAGCTTCTTTAAAACCGCCAGCAGAAAGTAAGGAAATGAGATGGGAGGCAGGTGGGCAGGCTGACCCTCCCAGGTGCGGGCCCCAGCGAAGCTCTGCTGAAGGACCTCGGCCCCGTCTGACCATGAGGAGCAGGCGGGCACATGGCTTCAGGCCCTCCTCCACGTCAGGGGGCCTGGCATGCTGGTCAGCCTCCCAGGGCCAGCGCGGCCCCGGGGAAGCGGTACCTGCACGTGACAAGGGCTGCTGCTACTTCGGGGGTCGGGCAGGATGGCAGGTGGGACAACATACGTGAGGGGCCCGGTGACAGCGCCTCCCGTCCTGCCTGCGGTGTTCTCCACCTGGGGCTGGGAGAGCATGCTGGCCAAGCAGGCTGGAGTGAGCTGTGCCCTGGGGGCAGGCGCGGTGCCCACGGAGGCCCCAGTGTGGCCCTCGAGGGACCTGAGCCCCAGGGCAGCGAGTAACTGATGTGCTGGGTGGACTCGGGCCTAGAAGGCTGAGGGGCGAGGACCCTCTGGGGGGCGGGGTGGCGGGAGGTCCTGGCATGTGGGGTGGGCAGGCCCCTCAGGGACCCAGCTCGGCCACCTCGCACAGATGGGACGGGGAGCAGCTACAAAATCAGCGGAGTGCAGGGGTCTGCAGCCCAGCTCCAACCAAGCCAGCCGGGCACGTGGCCTCCTCTCATTTCCCTCCTGCAGAGCAAGCGAAGCCTCGCCACCCTGGAGGCTCTGAACAGGACCATGGGGACAGGCAGGACCACCAGTTTCGCGAAGCCTCAGCGCTGACGGGAGAGGGAACACCCCTACACATGCGCACATGTACACGCGGCCCCCACTTCCACCCTGTGCTGTCTGGGGGGTTGGCGACCCCCCAGCACCCTCTCCCCAGGCCCCAATGGGGCGTGCCAGGCTGATGGAGTCTGGAAAAACCCACTGCAGCGGGCTCTCCAGAGAGGAAACTAGCTACAAACTCCCTTTCCAAAGGCCTCTCTCCCCACTGGTTTCCTGAAAGTCTTCCAGGCGAGGAGGAGAGAGCCAACACCTCTGCAATTTGGAAAGCCGCATGAAGCTAGCTGTCACTTGTGTGGGGAGAGTCTGTCATGGTGGGGGGTCCCTTCAGTTCCCAACTCACTGTGAAAAAACAAACGTGGAAACCTTCCGCTTTTGGCCAGTAAGGTTCAGAATCCACTTCTGCCCTCTGTAACCGTGACTGCCACCTGGGATCACTCTACCCCCTGGGGGCCTTTGGCGCTGTCTGGGGACACACTTCTGACTGTCCCCACTGGGGCAGTGACAGTGCTCCTAGCCCCTAGTGGGTCGGGGCGGGGGACGCTACTCAATACCCTAGAGAGCACAACACCCCTGCCATCGAGAATTAACCAGCCCCAGACACCAACGTGCCGAAGCAGAGAAGCCCTGCCCTCCTCAAGCTCAGGAAAGCAGGGGGCAGCGACACCCACCACCACCACCACCAGGAAGCCCTGGGTGGTCCTTCCCAACCAGCAGGGACTGTGCCGTCCTGTTCTTTGCCCTTCCGTCCCCTCCTGAGAATCAATCCTTTGACCACCCCCAGGGTGGCCTCAACGCCACTCTCCCTCTGGGGCTGGGGACCCTGGGCTTGCTCCCGAATTTCCTTGCCTGCCACTAACCCCTACTCCCAGCTGCACTCAGCAGGCTCCTCCCCGCCTCCTGCCCCCTCACTGCTTCCTGCATTCCCCTCTCTCCTCAGCTTTTTTCTGCCTCCCAGGCCCTTCTTCTCAGCCTCCTCTCCCGGCTTCTCCCTCTTTCTGCAACCATCACACACTGGAGAAGCAGGAGAGACCAGGGTTGCCTTGACCCATTGCAAGACGTGAGGATGAAAATCCGAGGCCATGGGAGAAGGGAAGCTCCCAGAACTGACCTGATGATGAAGGCGCCTCTGACCTCCAGGAGCTTCCGCTCACTGCTGAACCTCTTGAGAAGGTTGATCATGAACTTGTAAAAGTAGGAGTTCATGGTCGGGGTGGAAGGAGAACACTCCACGCCTTTGGTACCTACAGAGGAAGGGATAGAACGGGGTTTATTCTGCATGTCCACAGAAAGGAAATAGTTATTGATGCCAAAAAGGTGGGGAAAGTCCCTGTGCAACCAGATGAGGGAACACCGTCAATCAAGGGCCACGCTGGCAGCAAAAACGCAAGGACCAAACGTGTGTGCAAGCTGATACGACCCTGCTCGCTACGAACGCACCCATTCCCCTGGTCACCCCTCCATCACTTACTGAACACTCCCTGTATGAGACTAGGCGCTAGGTGGTTTTTGGAAAAACACATCTTTAACTCATCATCCCAATATATAAAATACACCCAGGCTTTGGAGGGTTAAGAACAGACGGCAAGTCATAGAGAAGAAAGAGGGACACAGCCCCAGTTGTCCATAAAGCCCACAGACCCCCAGAGGCAGAGGCCACAATCCTTTCCCATCGCTGCTCAAGGAGAAGTCAAAGATGGCACACCCTGGCAAAACGTGACCAGGCGTTGTCACCTGCACCCAGTGTTCTGAAATCAGACATTCTTCATCTTCAGGCAAAGATGCTCTGTCAGAGTAGCACCCTGAAGACCTTGAGCTGGCTTTACAACCAGAAGCACACTCCAGGTCTCCCCCCTTACGTGCTTGGTCACTCAGCTGTGTCTGATTCTTTGTGACCCCATGGACTGTAGCCCACCGGGCTCCTCTGTCCATGGGATTCTGCAGGCAAGGATACTGGAGTGGGTTGCCATTTCCTCCTCCACCCCCTTATGTATCCCAGCTGAAAATACATGAAAGGCCAGAAACAGCACCCTCTCCCCCACCCCACCCCAGCCTCGAACACGGCCCAGTGTAAGGCATCAGGTGCAGAGGGGACTGGGGTGGGGCTGACACAGTTCGAAGCCGATCCCGATGTCATGTGTTCATACACCCCTGGGGTCGCCCCGTCCTTGCTTTCTAGCACATGCTGATCTCAACAGCATTGTAAAGAAGTGGTGGTGATAACAGGAATCCTCAAGTACATCTGCCTGACGCATGAATAGGGCATCTGATCTTTTTTGGTAACAGTTTAATTGCGATACAACTCATATACTATCAAGTTCAGCCTTTTAAAGTGTACGATTCAGTGAAACAGGCAGGGAGTGTGGTCTCTGGGAATCAAGCTTGGCTGTGAGAGGGGATATCAGCTCCCAGAAGCGTCAACCCAAAGCACAAGTGTGTGGAAGCATCGTCCAGAGCATAAGCAAGCCTTTCAGAAGAGCCCTGGCAGGCTGACTTCATCAGATGCCGGGATCCAAGAGGCAGCAGTGAGACCTTCTCCCAGAAGGTCTGTCGTTGTGCTGAACTCAGACTTCCTTACATCCTTGCGAGGTCCTTACAGGGAAGTGGCTGGGAAGTGGAAAAGGTGTTTCCTGATTTTTTTTCTCCTGGGAAAAAACAGACCAGTTTTTCTGAACTGGTCTATGAGGATGCCTCGCCAGGAGCCACACCTTCAAACTACTGTCATCTCTCCAGAACCTCCTGGACAGCTCCTGTGAATCATGCCTGGGGCGAGCCCTGTGTGAGAAGCCAGTTCAAGGACAGGCCTCACGCACTTCTTGTCTGCTGTGTGTTGTTCTGGGTCCCTGTCCAGAAGAGCCTGGCCCAGGGCTGTCCTGAGGGTCTCTGGAATGGCAAACAGTCTGCTCCCGGCCCCGGAGGAGCTGTTTGCAGAATCGAGTGTCACATTCTTACAGATCGAGTTACTCCAGGCCCAGCTGGGGCTGACTCTGAAGAGATGGCTGTGTATACAGCTGTCCCTGTCCCCACACTTGAGGACATGAATTCTGCTGCCCCTGTGAAGGCCTGGCTGGAGGGCAGAGGCTCCCCCCACCCGTGGAGGTACGTGTGGCCTGGGGTCCAGCTCCCTGCAGTCCTCTGGGTGCTCAATGACCACGGCTCCTTATGTCCCTGTCCCACCCATTACCAGGCTTAGGTTCCATGGTATTCCAAAGGACAAAGAGATCTAACCAGTGACTGACCATAAAGAAATCCTCCCCACCCGGGGCCACAGTCTCCAGGTCCTGGGGACCACGTGCCTTGAGCAGGCTCTGGGGAGAGGTCCTGGGTGGTTCGGCTCTTACAGAAGCAGTGGGGTTTTCTGGCTGCACCACGTGGCATGCGGGATCTTCAGTCCCCAACCTCTGTCCCCTATACTGGATGGTAGATTCTTAACCACCGGACCATGAGGGAAGTCCCAAACATGGTGTTTAGAGATTGGCTTGGGAGTCCATCACACCTGAGATCAGATCTTCACTCAAGCCTGACTAGCTGGGCAACTCTGGACAAATCTCTTAGCCCCTCTAAGCCTCAGTTTTCTCATCTGTAAGATGGGGGCAATGAGAGCCCACAGTGAATGAGACAGATGTAATGTGCCAGGCCTGGGTCCTCCTACATAGTCTGAGCTCGAACAAGAGGGGCTGTTACTACCGGCAAAGCTGCCCTAACCCAGAGCGCTGCGTGAGGCGAATGGGTCCCACCTCCTGAGCCACGGCTGCCGCTGGGGCCCACGGTCAACTCTCGAGGTCCAGGCCCACATGGTGGCCCCTGGAGCTGAGGAGGCCCTTAGGAGGGAGGGAGGGGGGCAGAGACACGTGGGAAAAGCTGTGTCGAGAGGGTCCTGGCCTCACAGCGCGGTGCCTACCGTGGACGCTTCCGCCACTCACTTCAAAGAGCAGGAGGCTGGGTGCAGTCTAAGTGGGCACCGCGTGCCTTCCGAGGCTGACGGGAGAGGCTGCGGGGCTGCCCGCGGCCTGTGGCCCTTCAGGCTCCCTGCCAGCGTGGACTCCAGTCAAGGCCGCTGCCCCAGGAGGGGAGGCCCTGCAGGAGCGGGCGGGGAGCCCTGGGGAGGGCCACATGGGCTGGGCGGGCTGCGCTGGCTGGGTAAGGGCAGCCGCCTCTCCCGACCGCCTCGCTCCCTCCCGGCCTCCTTCCCTTGGCCCACCAGTCACTGCTCTGACTGACCAGCTGGCTCGAGGTGGGACCGGAGAGAGGGTTCTGGGCAGGGCTGCAGGCCCAGGAGGGGAGACGGGGTGGAGAGAGAAGGAACTCTCCAGGAGTGCTCCCACGGGGAGTGCCAGGCCTCTTTCAGCTGAACACTCATCTCTGCCCGACCGCAGCCTGCTCCTCCCCATGGGGCGCCCGCCTCTTGCCCTTCTGCACGCGACTGGATCGGCCTCCTTTCTCCAGCAGCTGAGAAGAGCCTGAGGGCGAGGGGCTGTGGCCCCAGGATGGGGCGGTCAGGGCCCGCGCCGCCCCCACCACGTGCTCGCGGGTCTCCCGGGAGGACAGGCTGGGAGGCCTGCACCGGGAGGGACGGGGGGAGCCGGTCTGGTCAGAGGCCAGGGGAGGGCTGGGAGCAGCCTGGTCTCAGGAGGAGCACCCGAAGGTCGAGGAGAGCGGGACTCCACCCCCCCTCCTGCCTGCTGCAGAGATGGGGCTCAGGCAGGAGGCTCACGTGAGCGCCGCTGGCCCAGGGCAGGCAGATGCCGCCGGGAGCACCGGGTGTGCAGGGCCGGGCTGGGGGCAGGCGGCTGGCGAGCCAGCACTGCAGATGTTCCTAAGTGAAACCTGATGTGGCGACAGGAGACTCTGCAGAGCACCGACAAACAGCCTCCCCGGGATGTTTTGGATAGAGCTCTGTGGCTGTGACGTGCGAGAGCCTCACATGTCAGGATAAAAATAGCTCTGGCCTCAATACACCACCCGCTACAGTTCAACAAAACCAGATGCGAGAGTGTCACCGCCCCGCCCGGGAGGCAGGGAAGGGCCTGCAGACACCCAGGACAGGTCCAGCCAGCCACCCGGGGGCGACACCTCTGGGCCTGTCCCTTTGGGAGCCTAACAGGCTCGAGGAATTGAGAAGCACAAGGCCCAGCCCACAGCGAAGTGCCCTGAGGGCGGGGCTGGGACGGGGAGGCTGGTGGAACCGAGGGCCTGTGCTCAGAGGGAAGAGGCTGGGACGGGGGTCTCAGGGGGCGGGGAGCCCCCACGTCAGAGGGCCCAGCCCCCACGGCGGCGAGGACCGATCCAGCAGGCAGTCGCTTTGGTCTCTGTGGAAAGGCCAGCGAGCCCTCTGCCCCGGGCAGTCCCCCAGCTCCAGGAGGCTGTCCAGCTGCCTGCTTCAGAGCAAGAGAGAAGTGAAGGGGCCCGGCAGGGCCTGGGAGCACCCACGGCTGGTGGGGGGAGGGGGGCCGCGGGAAGGTGAACGAAGCAGGCTCCGGGGCCAGCACCACCGCGAGCCTGTGCTCAGAGAAGGGGCTGACCCACGGGGAGGTTCCAGTGACCTGACATGAGGAAAGTGCTGAAAACAGAGCCCCATCCGGAACAAGAGCTCATCACATCAGAGTCAGTGCTGTCCTCGGGGAACCACCAGGGATGGCTTTCTGGGTTTCCTTTAGAGTTTATCTTTGCATTTGGTCACACCAGGCTGGGCTATAAGCAATGAAACTGAATCAGCACGCTCGTCTTTGCCCACGTGTTTGGAGCGGGGAGCAGACAGCCTTGCAGGGCGCAATGACTTGAGCAGTTTCACCCCAAGAACGGGCCGGAAGGGAAGTTTGGGAAGGCTGGGTCTGGGGGCAAACATCTGTCCCAGGAGACTTGGTCACAGGTCGCGACACAGCTGTGCGGGGCCCAGCTTCCCCCACTCCGGCAGCAGGGCCTCAACCCAGAGCCCTCCCCCCTGCAGGCCCTCCTCCTCGGAGTCTGGCAGGGCCCCAGTCGTGTGGAGCCAGGCAGAGGCGGCACAGACACCGCCAAGTCACAGGGGACCGAACTGGCGCTTTCATGTCATTTCACAGAAGCCCAAGTTAGGGAGACGGAGCCCTCCACTGGCTTCCCTTGGGGCCAGCCACCCAGGCAGCTCACGGTCCTCCTGACTGGCCCAGCGGCGGCCCCCTCCCCAGCCCGAGGCTCTGTTGGGGCCAGGAGTGAAGAGGGTCGGGCAGAAGGGAGACCACTGCCTGCGCCCACACCGCGCTGCACTGCAGGCAGGGGTGTCCCTGCCAGGCCAGGCGAGAGCAGGTCCCCGGTGGGCACCGCTGCGCTGATGTTGAGGCCAGCACAGCAGCGTCCAGGCAGGTGACGGCCACCGCCGCACTGTCTGCACGGTCTGAGTTTACAGGCGCGACATGCAGGCACTATGCCACCGGGCCCATCTTTGCTAGGCTCCCCGCCTCCTCAGTCTTCCCAAGGCCCTTGGTAGGGGGGTAAGGCGGGTGATCTGTCTTAAAAAGGCACAGCCCTGCACCTGCAAGTTCTCAGAGCTGTGCCCTGGCGAGCCAGGGGAAGGCAGATCCGAACCGGAAGACAGTCTGCCTCGCAGCCTCCGCATGTGGCCAGCCGGAAACACACAGAAGGACCCCCTGTGTGCAGAGACGCCGTGGGAGAAAGGACAGAATGTGTGTGTGCTTCTGGGTTCCCTCTGACCTGTGCCCCATGCCAGCACCCTCGCACCCAGCTCCTGCCCTCCCCAAGGCGGCCGAGGCAGACAGCAACAGGGCACAGCTCTTACTTCCGGTTACTGCTGTGAGCTTGACCTCGGAGAACCACAGCCCGCCTGACAGACCTGGTGCCAGCAAGGGACCGCGCTGGGTGGGTGCCACCCCGACAGGGCGCCCGGGGCGCACGGCGCCGTGAAACCCTCACAGCGGGGCGTCTCACTAGCTGCAGGCACTTCCGTGGTGCTCGCTCCAGGACGGAATTTCTTCCCGTCTGGCACACTTAGCTGTTTTCTATGAATTCAGGGCGAGGCTCTGGCTGATGCAAGCCAGTCTGACAGCCTTGGGAGCTGACAGCATCAGCTGGCTGGGGCAAGCCTTCATCACCTTAGCCTCTCCGGGGGCCCAGGCGTCTTGACAGGGCCAGAAGCTGGGGTGCAGAGCTCTTTGCCACCCAAGTCCCTCTAGCTCCTGCTCCAAGCAGTGGAGGGCGTGCTACCTGAACTCCTGGGGCCCGGCCCTGCAGCCAGGGCTCCCACCCTGCCCCTTCCAGGACGGGCTGTGCACAGCTGCTTTCCAGCCCACCCCTCCACTAGCCAGGAATCGTTTCACAGTCACCCATTTTTCCATACCCTTCTCCCTCCCTTACAGAGGAGGGACAGATCAGACAGCCCCGGTGGAGAGGATACGTGTCCCCTGCCCGGGGCTGTGCTCCCGCAGCCTCTCCCCTGAGGATGCAGGGTCTCGGCTTCCTGGGCAGGGAGCTCTGGGGGATGCCCCCACCCACAGGAAACCTCCTCTCAGCTGCTGGCCCCGCTTCCTCTCAGTGAGCCTCCCCACCCCCACACTGGGGCCTGGCTGCGCCCCCCCAGCCTCTGGCAACCCTGCCACCCGTCCAGAGACTTCAGGTTTGTGCCCAAGTGCTGATCTGGGGACCTAGGACGAGAACGGACAGAGGGGAGGACTCCCGTCCACAGGGGTCGCGTGGTCAGGATGCGGGAGCCTCCCGGCCGCAGCCCAATGTCCAGAGGAAGCGGCTCACAGGCTGGAAACTGCTGCATCCTGCAGAACCAGAAAAGGATGCTGGGCTGCCACGAGAGCCCCTGCCTCCTTCCCGCCTTCAGTCAGAAGCAGCTGGGAACAAGAGCAGCTGCAGGCGGAGCGTGCACAGTGGTGACAGCCTGAGCCTATGGGACACCCCATGGCTGGGGTCTGACTTCAGGTGTTACTAGCGAGATGTCTTCCTTGGTGGCTCAGCTGGTGAAGAATCTGCCTACAATGAGGGAGACCTGGGTTCAATCCCTGGGTTGGGAATATCCCCTGGAGAAGGGAAAGGTCACTCCAGTATTCTGGCCTGGAGAAGTCCATGGACTGTTTAGTCCATGGGGTCACAAAGAGTCGGACACAACTGGGCGATTTTCATTCACTTTTTGAGGCATGGGCCTTCTGGGATCGGCTGGCAGCCTGGCCACCACTTCCGAGCAGGTGCCCTCAGGGCCAAGTACTGGGACACCTTCGGGGACAGTGCAGTGGGGCCGTGTGAGGGAAGCCACCACTGAAAAGGCCCCACATCTATCTGACTCTTGACTTTTGCATCAGAGGAGGTCTAAGATCTTGTATCTGGATATCAAGAGCCACTAGGGGACAGAGACATCCCAGGCAAATGCCCAAGATTCGCTGGGTATGCTCCTTCCAAGCTGCCTCCCTGGGTGTTTTCCAGGGTCGTGTCGCTGGAAGGCGGTGGCGTCTGCCTGCGAGGGAGGACCCGGGAGTCACGCTGGCCGCAGGAGAAGAGCCACCTGCGGCTGGAGGGACCCCAAAGTGGGGGCTCCAGGGGCGCCACGGCCACCTTCATGTCCGAGGACTGCCCGGGAACACCCTGTCTGAGTTATCCACTCTCCGGTCTAGGCCACCTGCCGTGTTAGTTTTAGCTTCTCAACGAGGAAGGAACAGCTGCCTCATCTTCCACCCATGACACCTAAGCTCTGGGGTCCCTGATTCCCGACCAGGTGACGGCGTCCCAGGGGAAGAGACCATCAGCTGACTTGGATGGTTTCACATTCAGCCAATAGCTCAAAGGGCCGAGAGTTGCAGGGAGATGAGGGAAAGGGCTGTGAGGGTCTCCTGAGAGGGTGGGGGCTGCTGGAGTGGGAGGCAGGAAGGTCAGGCTGCCTGCAGAGCGGCACATCACCGGCCCTGTCCCCGGGGAGCCCCCAGGCTCAGGAGGGTGGCCCAGGTGCCAGCTGGTCCAGGGCAAGACTGAGCAGCGCCATGCCCAGGGGCCCCGAGGCCGCAACCATCTAGGAAGGGAAGACTCACCGGGCGTGTTCAGCAGGCCGGCTCTGCCGGGGGTGGGTGCCTGGAGCTCCGAGTGGCTGACGCGGAGGTCAGGACCATCGAGGGCGCCTGGGTCATCCGCCTGGCCTGCGGGGGAAGAAGCAATTTCTGCCAGCACCTCCAGATCCTTTAGGATAACCTGGGGAGAGAAGAGGAGGATGATGAATAAGGACCCCCACCCTGCGCTGCGGGTGCGGACGGACAGCCGCCTCCAGGGCACCAGGAGGGCGACAGGCCGCTGAGGGCTGCCCGGCTCACAGCTCTGAGTGCTCAGAGACTGCTGCAAAGGATACAGACTCAGGAGAACACAGGCAGACAGCGGATGGCAGGAAGTGGGGGAGAAGGCGGGGTCAGCTCTTCCAGTGATCACTGCTCTCTGGTCCCCAAGAGAGGAGGGGCTCAGGCCCAGGGCCCAGCCTGTGCAGTGGGGGGCCCTCGGTTGGTCAGGCCTCAGCCAGCTCAGCTCAACCAGCTCAGCCAGATGCTGATCCCATAAGGGTCACACAACCCACACCAGGTCCAGCGGGTTATTTCCCTATCGGAAAATATGCTTGGGGAGACCCAGCATGCCTGAGAGGCCTGGCCCGTGAGATGCCCGCACCCTGAGTGGCCCTGTGAGTGGGGGAGGCCACAGGGGGCAGCTGTCCCGGCTCCGAGTCGGAGGTGAGCCCTTGACTGTCCTGTCTCGCTTACAGGCACCTGCTCAAGGAACCTGGGGTCCACATCAGACTCAGCTTGAGTCCACAAATGGGGCTCTGTGCTCACAGTCCTGGCTTCAGTCTCAACCCTGACACCAGCTGCCTGACTCTGGACCAGTGAACTCCACCATACCCGCCCCCACCAGCTTCTACTGAGCGGTGCCCGCTGGGGGCCGGGCCCACACTGGCGGGAGGAGAGGCAAGGCCACAGGCTGCCTTGGTGCAGCGCCTGTGCTCCTGGGGCCGGCAGCTTGCCCTGAGGGGGACTGCCGGGCCTTGAAGTGCTGAGCTCAGGTCTGCCAGGAACTGGGGGTAGAGGGAGGCACGCAGAGCAGTCTTGTAACTAGTAGAAGCTTTTCATGGACACAGGACCAGACCCAGAGGCACATTCCCGGAACCTGAGCTGCAGCCCAGCCCCGGAGCGGGGTGTGGGGTGGGGGAAGAAACCAGGCAGGGGCAGGTCATCAAGGACCATCACCTGGACACAGGGCGCAATCTGAACGTGGCTTTGCAGGGGACTGGGAGGCTGTTTCCTCCTGTGTGCCCACAGGGACGCGCCCTCAACAGGGCGCTGTGCCGATCACAGGAGATGCTTCCTGCACAACTTCTGCGTGACAATCTGGGGCCTGGCCTGCCAGCGGCCCTGCACGGGGATAGGGCAGGGACAGCAGCACACACACCCAGGCCTCCAGCTTCACCTCTGCATCAGCAGGATCTGTGTCACCCATCCCCGCATGCCGCCTCCCCACAGGACGCAACGGCCAGCAAATCTGCACTTCATATTCCAAATTCTCTCGTTTTAGAAAGTTTAACACCAACCCGCAAATGAATGCAGACCACACACTTCTACTGTACAATTACAGCCGGAAATGTTGTCTACAGGTTCCTTCAGTTATCCTGGCCACCCCTCTTGTGCTTACGTATCAGAAGATTTGTCTCTAGTCCCCTGGGGGCTAAAGCGAACAGACAGGTGGGCTTGGAGCAAAACCATGTGTCCTTGTGTACACACACACTAGTGGAAGCCCCCTTAAGTGGGAGCTGGAGAACAGCAACACTGTCCCCTTCAGGCTTTAGAGCAAAGGACTTGAGAGGGGCTGCCAAAACGGAGGTCAAGGAATGGCGTGAAGAGGAGAGTGGGGAGTTGGTGGGCAGCCACTTCGGGGTTCTCAGTCCAGCCCATTAACTCCAGCCACTGGCTCTCCCCCAGCAGACCAGCAAAACCACTCAGTCCAAGCTGAACATGGCTATGGGTGACCACCATCCGGACGCAGGCCTAGGCCTGGACTCTGTCTCTGCCTGGGCAGTGGGGGGGGGGGGGCCCAGGGGACAGCAGTGGGGACCACAAGGAGCCGCCGTCCACTGGACCTGGCTGTGGTCTCTGTGCCAGCAAGGCTGTTAGCGCCCCTCATCCCTGAAGACCTCACAGCCCTCGGCTTGAGGGCAGGATGTCTGGCGACAAGGACACGGTGGTCTCAGTGGCCTCAGGCACACTCAGGGCTTGGACACAAGGCGAGAAATGCCCCACGCGGCCGCAGGACACGCAGAGCCAGTCCCATGGCAGCGCGCAGGCCGGCTGGGCCCATGCCGATGCTGGCCCGTGGTCCTGGCCCTGAGGATGGGAAAGGCTCACAGAGAGTGGGAGGAAGCCATGCCAATTAGTATGCGCTCCACAGCTTTTTGCAGAATGAATATAAAACACTTGTGCTTTCTTTTTGTGTGAGAGAAAGAAACGGGGGAAGGAGAGGGAGGGAAGAAGGTTACAAGAAAGCAATATTCTGCATGAGCAGGAGGGCCTGTGGTTACCATGGCAACGGGCTGGGGGGGCAGGGGGAAGGCGCATCAGCTGGTCCCTCAGCCGGCTGGCCACCGATGGAGAGAAAAGGTCAGCGGCAACTGGGGAAGAAAGCATCTGACAAAGCAGCTCCAGGAGGAAGGCGCCCGGGGGGGAGGAGCACGCGGTGTCACACCCTCCAAGGCTTGGGGAGTGAAGTGAGGAAGGCCTTCCTTCTGGGAGGCGGCCGGACAGCAGCAAAGGGCACGTTTCAGCACGGGAGGGGAGTCACTGTCTAGATAGGCTGCAATAGGCTGTCAGCCCCTGCCCTCCAGCGGGCCAAGGACAGTCTCCTGGACAGCAGCTGTTTCCAGCCCTCATTTACTGGTGCATCCAGGCACTCTCTGTCCCCACAGCATGTCCACAGATCAGCCCTGGAAAACCCCTCGCTGCAGGACGCACCCTTCTGTCTCCTGGAAATGCTCCTGCCTGCCCCTTCACCACCTCGGGACCAGGGGAGGCCCAGAGCTCTGCAAGGTTAAGCCCCCAGGCCTGCAGGCCTATCCTCTCCTCCCACCCTGACCCCTGGACCCGGAGTCCCAGGCGAGGCGCCCGGTGGCCGCAGAGCTGGGCAGGAAATGGAAGATGGATGGTTCTGGAGAGCTCCTGCCAAGGGACGGCTGGGAAAATCCTCCATTCTCTACCCACCTGCCTCTGAGAAACTCAGTCTAGAGTCTGGCTAGGCCCTGGTCAGCTGACCGGGCCCCAGATGTCAACGGGCTCAGTCTTCCAGTCCCGCGAGCAGGGAAGGAACTCCCTGGGTTGGGCCCTCTGTAGTCCCGGCCAGGAGGGAGCCGCACGAGCCTCCGAGGGCGGCATCCGGGCTGGCGGGGAAGGGGACGCAGGAGGTCCGAGGCCGAGGTCTGTAGGCACCACCCAGGCCAGCTGATGCCTCTGCCCACAGCAGGGCAGCTGCAGGGCCACACCTGAGATCTTGGGCAGCTTGGGTTACCCCTTATTCTTGGGGAGCGGAGCCGAGAGCAAACGAAGAGGCGCTAGGCCAGGCCTGCATGGCAAGACTTGTGGCCGCCTGCTTCCTCCCACTCAGGAGCCTGTCCCCTTCCTTCATGAGGGCTGCAGCCCAGGGGGTCAGGCCTCTCGAGCCCCAATGCCCGGTGGACTCATCTGGAGAACTCGGTCCAGGAGGCCAGGCTGCCGGCCCAGGAGTGGCACCCGGGGAGCCGCGGCCAGGGGGAGGATGTCCGCGGGCCCTAGCACAGCTCCTGTGTGCCTGAGCCCCCGTGCAGCTCTGGGGGACGGCTGCTGGCACCTGCCGGCCTTCAACACAGCAGACCCGGGCTGGAGAAAGCAGTGACCAGGCCCCGGCCTGGCCTGGCCCGGCCCGGGGGGGCAATTTCCCCAGAACAGCTTCCCCCTAAGAGGGTGGGAGCAAGCCGGGCCCAGCATGCCGGGGAGGTGGCCCACAGCCTTGCCTTCTATAGCACTGGGGCAGCTCTGCCAAAAAGACTCCCAAATCTGGGGGTGCGAGTGAGGGCACTGCTCAGCCTTAGATCTATTTTCCCATTGAGGAAACCGCCCTGATTAAGACCTTGTATGCCTTGGTAAAGCAAAAAACAACTTGAAAAAAAGGAACAAGAATTCTGTCTTGGTTTGTTGCCCGACTTTGAACGCACGCCTTTAGGAATCAGGAACAGCTTTCTTTTCTTTTCTTCTGTTCGAATGGACTCAGAAGTCCTTCCAAGGCGCCAGTTCCGTGCCATACTGCCAAAGGGCAGCACCTGATGCTTATTAAGTTCCCCGACGACAGGACAGTGCGGGTTCTGGCAGCTTGAACCATCCAGCCGCCGCCCCAGAGGGCAGAGGGGGACGAGGCCAGCCTGGGGTGAGCCGGCTTGGAGACAGAGCCCCCAACTTCCCAGTGTGAGCTGGCTTGGAGACAGGGCCCCCAGCTTCCTGGGGTGAGCCGGCTTGGAGACAGGCCCCCCAACTTCCCGGGGTGAGCCGACTTGGAGACAGGCCCCCCCTTGCCTCCCACCCCGGGGCTTCCTGCTGAAGCCCTCGCTCACTCGCAGCTCCGACTGGCAGGTACCCCTGCAGGAGGTGAACTCTCCCCATGAGCGGGCAGGGACGGGGAGGGGCCTCCGCATGGGGCAGCCTGGGGCAGCGCGGGCACCGTTATAGCTCGGTCACCAGGCGACAGGTGGAGGGGCTGCTGTCTCCAGGGCCCGGCCCACAACGACCAGGACAGCAGCACAGGTGCCTGGCCTCTGCTCAGCCCCAGGCCCGTGTAAGCCCCACTCAGCTCTGTCCGAGCGGGCAGGCCCAGGCCCCCGTGAGCGAGGAAGGAGGCAGGACGGGCCACAATGCGCTCTGCTGCCATCGGCGCGCCTCCTGCTTGTGAACATGCTCATGAAATGCGTCCGGGCCCCTCCCGTGTGCAGACACGCCTCTGCCCTCACGGCGTGTGACGAGGGCCGTGAGAAGGTCTGGGGGTACCGGGTGCTGTACTCACACAGACAGGGATCTGGCCGGCCGGGAGGAGCAGAGCAGCGGGTAGTGTACTGACAGACATGCCTTCACGGATTCACGGGGCATCAGGCCAAGATCCCGACCTAGTCACCTCACTTCTCTGAGCCGGTTTCTGCTTTG